GCCGCTGCTTCCCCGGCGCTAGAGCGCGCGCCCGAGCCCCAGCCGCAGCGCTGCCGGGGCGGAGCAAGAGGCGGGGGCGGAGCCTCGATATAACACCGCCCCCTTCGCCGTCGCCTAGCGACCGGTCGCGCGCGCTCCCGAGAAGCCCGGCGCCGCGGGAAGCCTCTGAGCTTAAACAGGCACCGCGTCCGCCCGGCAACACCCAACTCCAGACGTTGTGTTCTGCGCGTGCGCGCTTCTGGCCTCAGGCCGAGCTACGTCAGAGTCCCGCGTTCGAATTTGGCTGAGGGGCCTTGCCAAATTCCAGGGTTTAGCCTGAGGTCCGGGGAGGAGGACTTGTGTGCTGTGCAAGGGGCTACCGTGGCGTGAGGGCCTCCAGTCAATGCCACCCAGTCTGTCAGCGTTCAAGAGTTTTCATTTTATTTTGTTTAAATGTCACGACATGAACCTTTAAGGCAACGAGGGACTCAAGGCCTCTGCCTGAAGTTACGCAACACGTCGAAGCTTCCACCATCTGGACATAAAAGCGCCCAGACAACACGCTAGCCCGGTCCACGCCCGATGACATCGCCCGGGTCTTGCCCACCTTCCCTCTAGCCCCGCCCTTCTTCCGTGTTCGTGTTCTACTGAAGCCCAGCTCTTCCCACGCCCTGACAGAGGGTCGAGGGCGCCTGGAAAACCTGGAGCGCGGAGCCTGTAGACATAGGCGGGTGACCCAGGAACACCTCATAGCAACAGCCATCGGGGGAGTCTGGGCGGAAGCGTAAATTCATTTTAGCCAGTCAGGTCTCATTCCTGCACCCCATGGTGCCCACTCTGGGCCAATAAAAAGGTGTCTCATCTCACATAGTGCCGCTTCTTCAGCCAATAGGGATAAAGCCCAGTCCTAGACTCAGCACTCCTTCCGGAGCCTGGCCCGGCTGGGCGTTTGCAATTGAGCATGTTCCAATAACCAATCTTAAGCCAGCTAGTGAATGACGGAGGTTTGGGCTGAGCCAATCAAAACTCTAGATTGCCCTGGATCCAAGGTTCTGTGGAATGGTTACAGGGCTAGGCTGCTGGAGACTGGGGGTCTGTCTCTGTGCCCGGTCCTGGAGAAGGATCGGGGAGCGTTGGCAGGCGAGGGGGATGAATTCTTCTTTAACTACGCCAACGTGGCATTTTGCCTGGAGATGGGCATGGAAGTGGTGGCGAGGGATGCGGGCTGGATCGTGGGCTGGCTCGGAAAACAAGGGACTTTTCTCTCTTGGGTGAGAAATTTTTCAGTCCCTCAGGAGGCATCCATCATGCAGCAGTAGCTCTGGTCCTCCGTGCGTGCTTCCCAATGCGTGTGTTTTCTACTAAGTTTGAAAACACCGTTCTATCTCCAGTCCCTGGACTTTTATCACACAGTCCCACCCATAACATCACATTTAAGAGAAGTCATACCCTCAAACCTGCAGATTTTATAACTGGTTATTGCATTATCTGCCTTAAATTATGTCCTTGAATTGGCAATCCCTGGCCATGACTTCCTCACATTTCATGAGAATACTGTGTTTTTGCAGTTCTGTCAGAGCTTGGTGTACCCCTCCACCAGCCCGTTTTCCCACAAGGTCATGGACAGGATTTTGGTCTATGCTCCCCTAACAGCCAGACATTCTTTTACCATCTTTTCTGTCAGTTATCAAGGTACAAAAATGCACTCTGATAGAGCAGTCAGGTTCTTTGCTTAAAATTTAGAATAGAGTCCTTATTACCTCCCAAGTTTTCATTTAAAATAGTTTAAGTTACATGTCCCATCAAATTTAAAATGTAAATTACAGTCTCCCTCCATATTCATTAGGGTTGGTTTCAGGACAACTCCCCATAGCAAATACTGCAGATGCTCCGATATATAAAATGACATATTTGCATATAACCTACACACATCCTTTCCCCCTCATATTTTTGATATGCAGGTGGTTGAATCCATGGATGCAGGCTGACATGGATATAGAGGGCTGCCAGTACAGCTCAGTCATTACTTCTCCATTACATACTACCATGATATGGGAAGTTAAATTGAGCTACCAGAATAAGCAAGGAAGAAAAATTATAAGGAAGAATCAGGAATGTTTTAGGGGAGCTGAAACTGAAGGGATCTCATATTTCAGTCCAAGCAAGATGACCTAAAACTGAGAGAGCTTACCGTGTGCTTCATGTTTGAGTGACTCTGGCAGGGATTTTTCAAGAGGATGTTGTGAGTAAATACAGTGTTCAAGCAGCTTTTTAGAAGTTTCATATTTTCTTTAAGACTAGACTGCTTAGTTGTGATTACTTCAGCTCTTAGCAACTACAGTTTTCTGAGAAAATGCAGAATGTTTCTTGTAAAATCTGATTGTATATTTAAATGATAAATTTTGGGGCTTATTGGGGATTAAATAGAGCCAAGAAACATCAAACTCTCTCTGTAAATGCAATAACCTGTAGTGGTTGCTTTTCTCATTGCTGTGAGCAAATACTTGACAAAAAGCGTGTAAGGGAGGAAAGCTTTATTTTCAATCATGGCTCACAGGATACAGTCTGCTGTAGGAAAGGTATGGTGGTAGGCAGCTGGCTTCCTGAGGCCAGAACAAGAGGCTGCTCACTCACATTCCCGAAGATCTGGAAGCAGGGAAGGGAGTGCTGGAGCTCAGCTGGATTTCTTCTCTTTCCCTTTTTGATCAGTTCAGGAACCTAACCCGAAAGGATGGCGCCATCAACATTCAGGGTTGATCTTCCCTGCCCTCTGTTAATTCTTGCTAGAGGAGCCTTCACAGACGTGCTGCAAAGTATGCATTAATGCCTTAGGTGTTTTTAAAAAATATTTTTATTTTATATGTGTTTTACCTACTTACATGTCTGTGTAAACAGTTCATGTGTGTACCTAGTGCCTATGGAAGCCCAAAGAGGGCATTGGGATTCCCTTGGAGCTGGAGTTACAGACCATTGTGAGCCATTATTTGGGTGCTAGGAACTGAACCCTGGTCTTCTGGAATAGCAAACAGTAAGTGCTCTTAAGTAACTGAGACATCTCTCTAGCTGTCCTAGGTGTTTTTTTTAATCCAGTTAAGTTGGCAATTGAAATTAACCATCCCACAACCCATCTGGTACCTTGCAATACAATAGAGACAAAAATCCACACAGAGCTAGTGATTTTGGGTGTGTGGGGCTGGGGGTGGGGGGGGGTTGTGTTAGTATTGAGAACCCAGGAGGTAACCTTAAGCAACTTCTGATTCTTAGGTCCCCCAAAGTTGGGAGCCTCTGAATTAAAGTGCATCTGCTAGGAGTTGCCACAAAACTCATGAGTGATCCCTAGTCACCCCACATAGCATAGCAGAGAAGGGGACAGCTTCTTGACATGTCTCAGGTTATTCTCCCTGACATTTCATTAGTGTTCACCATGGTTTTGTTACAAATAGCAACTGTGGCCACATTTGCAGTTCATTTGTTCCTCATATTGACGAGGTTCAGTTTTCATTTGTGATGTTAGGAAGGTGGATTTTTCACAACACCCAAGAGAAAAGCTCTGGATGGGAGCGTATTTTCTTACCTGGCTTGCATGAAAAGACAGACGTGGTTTGTGGCAGTAGATGGAACACTGCTTAGGGATGAGTTACTATAATAAGGATGTCAGTAGAGTGTGGTAGTGCAGAGCTGTAGTCCTAGCTACTAGGATTTCTAAGGCAAAAGTGCCAAAAGTTCCAGGCATGCATAGGCTACACCACTGGTGAGTTCAGGGCCAGGCTGTGCACCTTAGTGAGACCTTGCTTTAAACTAACATTTTAAAAGGCTGGGAATTTGACTCAGTAGCAGGGCACCTGCCTAGCATGTGCAAGGTGCAAGACCTTAGGTTCAATCCCCAGTGCAAAAAAATTTTTGAAGACTTGTGTGGGGAATTGGTAGGCATATCCTGACTACTTAATCATGTTTATCACTGCTAGTCTAACCCCTATTCCAATAAATAGGAAGCTCAAGTCTTCATTTTTTTGTGCAAAAGACAAAACAGAAATGTGAGACAAAATTCAGTTTTGCCCCTGGAGCTGTCAAAGTGCATAGCAGCGGGAACCCAGTGCTACACTGACACGGCAGGGTCCCTTTGGCTTCAGAAATGTATTGCTGGGTGAAAAAAAAAAAAAGAGGAAAAGAAAAACTTAATTTCTCATTTCCCCACTGGAGCTGAAGGGAGTTATCTCACCTAAATCCAGATACCCTCAATTGTCACACTTGTGTTACCATGGAAACCCAGCTCTTTTCTTTCTATAAAAGATGTTGAAAAAGGTGGAATGAAATGGGAAATGTACTGTGTCCTGACACTTCCTGAGACCAGCATGAAGCAAATATGCACAGAATTTAATATAAACAAGTTGGTAGTGGACACTTGTGATTTAACCAGTTCTTCTCGGCTATCGCACTCTGATTCCTGTTGCTTCCTTGCTAAAGCCTGGATGGCTCTCATTAATCATAAAGGGGGAGAACATGTCAAGTACACTTAGCGCCTGTGAAATGCTACTGGTGCTTATGAGGGGGGCAGATGAAATTGTCTTAGCCTCTGGGACTACTCGCACAGTTGAGAAAAAGCAGTAGATGTGAAGACTGGAAAAAAGAAGGGGGCAAAATCAACTTGTTCTGATGAAAATGCAACTCATCTTGATGCTTTTGAAAAGAAAAATGATTAAGAATGCAGATGGTGAGTATGCAAAAGAGGCAACGAAAGAAACCTATTGGGTGCAAAAGAAAATGTTTCCAAAGACAACTTTAAGGAGAAAGAAAAGGCCTAATGTTTAAGGGAGCGAGGAAAAGGGGAAAGAAAAAAA